GTGGTGAGCATCTTTTTTTCTTGTTAAGATATAATCCATATTATGACTGTAGAATATATCCATATTGAAGGCTGTAGTCTTTGATCTTACTTATCAAGTGCTTTCATATAAGTGCTTTTAGCAAGCAGGGTTGTCTCCTTTGTACAATACAAGTTGTTGATAACTTCCTCTGATCTTGATGCCACATTATTCTTCAGAGACTCCATCTTCTGAAATTATTTGCTCGATTAACAGATTGAATAGGTATGAAGAAAGGATATAACCCTGACACACACCTTTCCTGATTTTAAACCATGGTGTATTACCTTGCTCTTTTAGTACAACAGCCTCTTGATCTAGGTATAGGTTTTGCATGAGCACAAGTAAGTAGATCAGGTACATCTTAGTCATAAAGTGACATCCTTTTTCTTTAGTATTTTAAGGAATTTCTTGGCAGTGTATTTACCTGCTGTAATATGTTCATTTGATTTCTTAACAACATCAACCTTTTCTCATCTGTCATGATGTTAATCCAGTGGTATGAATTTTTTATTTCCTGATGTTGATGTGTAATCCATACTGACAGCTATAATCTTTGATCTTCTTCAGTTAAGTGCTTCAAGCCCTCTTAACTTTCAGCAAGCAGGTTTGTGTTACTTGCATACTGCAGGTTGTTGATGAGTCTACCCTCATCAATCCTCTTGTCTTATTTTCCATGTAATATGTTGTTGTTATGTAATGTCGAGTCACCTGTGATTCATAGCGACCCTATGTACAACAGCCCTAAACCCTGCTCTGTCCTGTGACAATTTTAATGTCTCCAACATACCTACCCCCATTACCCCAGTCACTGAATCAGTCCACCTCATAGAGGTTCTTTCCCTCCTGTGCTGTCCCTCTACCCTCCCAAGCATGACGTCCTTCTCCAAAGACAGGTCCCTCCTTACAACATGTCCAAACTATGTCAGACAAAGCTTCAGAATCCTTGCTTCCTAAGAGCAGCCAGGTTTAACCCTCTCTAGGATGAACCTGTTCGTTTCTTAGCAGTCCATGGTATGTATTCAATACTTTTCTCCAATACCACAGCTCCTCTGTAGTCATTGTCCAGCCCTCTGATGCATAGCAAATGGTTGCAAAGACCAATGCCTATATCAGGCGCACCTTAGTCTCCATAGTGACACTATTGCTCTTCAGTACTTTGGAAAGGTCCCTAACAGCAGACTTTCCTATCGCAATACATATTTTAATGTCCTGGCTGCTGGTGTCAAGAGTGTTGACTGTTTGATGAGTCTACCCTACAATCCTAGTTTAGTTTAGCAAATTAAAGCTGTTTACAATCTCAGCTTCTTCACCATCCATCCAGATGCTGCCAACTGACCCATTGGTCAGAATCATTGTCTTCTTGATATTAAGCCTCAATTGAAGGCTGTAGTCCTTGACCTTCTGCAGCAAGTGCTTCAGGTCCTCCTCGGTTTCAGTAAGAACGGTTGTGTCATCTACATAACTCAGGTTGTTGATAAATCTTCCTTCCACCAATCCTGATGCCACACTTCTCCTCAAACAGCCCAGCCTCCCAGATAATCTGTTCTGCATATAGGTTGAAAAGGTATAGAGATAAAACACATCCTGGCGTACACCTTTTCCAATTTTGAACCATGGAGTGTTTCTTTCCTCTGTTCTGATGACTACCTCCTGGTCCAAGTATACGTTTCACATTAGCACAATCAAATGTTCTGGGATTCCCATTCTTCTAAGAATCAGTCAGTCATAGTTTGTTATGATCCACATGGTCAGACACCTTTGCATAACTAATGAAACACAGACATTCTTCTGGTATTCCCTGCTTTTAGCTAAGATCCATCTAACATCAGCTACAATATCCCTAGTACCACGACCCCTTCTAAACCCAGTCTGCACTTCTGGCACTTCTCTGGTGATGTGTTGTTCCAGTCGTTTTTATATAATCTTCAGTAGAATCTTGCTTGCATGTGAAATTAATGATATTGTTTGATAATTTCCACACTCTCTTGGGTCACCTTTCTTTGGAATAGGAACAAATATAGATCTCTTCCAGTCAGTTGGCCAAGTGGTTGTCCTCCAGATTTCTTGGCACAACTTTGTGAGCACGTCTAGGGCAATATCTGTTAGTTGAAATACGTCAATTGGTATACCATCCATTCCTGGGGCCTTATTTTTTGCCAATTTCTTCAAAGAAGCTTGTACTTCTTCTTTCATAACCGTAGGCCCTTGCTCATATGTTGTTTCATGACATTCTTCTGTGTCTGCCAATTCCTTTCAGTACAGTGACTCTGTATACTCTTTCCATCTTCTTCTAATACTTCCTTGATTATTTAATATTCTGCCTAAAGCATCCTTAAGTATTGAAACCCAGAGTTTGAATTTGTTTTTCAGTTCCTTGAGCTTAAGAAATGCTGAGCAAGTTCGGCCCGTTTGATTTTCTCACTCCAGCTCCTTGCACATTTTAGTGTAATATTTTACTTTGTCATTCATCCCACACTGCCTTTTGAAATCTTCTTTTCAGCTCTTAAATATCTTGAATTCTTCCCTGTGCTTTGGCTTCTCGGCGCTTTAGTGAAATATTCAGTCTCTTCTGACATCCATTTTGGTCTTTTCTTCCTCCTCTGTCTTTGTAATGACGTTTTGTACTCTTCCTTGATGATACTCTTCATATCCTCCCACAATTCATCTGGTCTTCACTCGCTGGTGTTCAAGGCCTCAAATCAGTTCCTGAGATGGTTCTGAAATTCACGTGGCATAGACTCAAGATCATATTTTGGTTCCCATGGATTTCATTTTCCTTAGCTTCAGCTTGAACGTGCATATAAGTAGTTGGTCAGTTCCACAGTCAGCACCTGGTCTAGTTTTCACAGCTGATATTGAGCTTCTCCAGCGGTTCTTTCCACAGATGTAATCAATCTGATTCCTATGCATGCTAACAGGTGAAATCCATGTGTATAACCTGCGTTTATGTTTCTTATAAAACATATTTGTAATCTCTAAGTCATTGTGCAGAATTCATTCTATCTCCAGCTTCATTTCTGTCAGCGAGTCCATGTTTTCCAACTACTGATCCTTCTTCTCTGTTCCCAACTTTTGCATTCCAGTCACCCATTATTATTAATGAATCTTGATTGCATGTTCAATTGAGGTAGTATAGCTTGAATTATTTCTTAGCATACATATTATATGGATATGGTAAAAGGATACACCTCTTGACATAGCACTTTTCATATTTAAACCAGCAATATTTCTTTGTTCTGTTCTAATGACTACTTCTTGGTTTATAGTCAAGTTTCACATGAGCATGTTAAATATTTTGGGACTTTCCATTCTCCTCAGAGTTGTTGTTAGGTGGCATCAGGTCGAGTACAATTCATAGCGATCCTGTGAACATAAGATCTGAACCCTGTTCTATCCTGCACCATCCTCACACTTTCTGACACACATGAGCCCATTGCATTGTCACCATGTCATTCCACTTGTCTGAGGGTCTTACTATCCTTCGCTGAGCCTCCACCATCCTTCTCCATGGAATAGCACATTCTAGCAATATATTGAATAACCCAGAAAACATCAAAACAAAATAGAGGGAATATACAGAATCACTGTACCAGAAAGAATTGATTGATACTGACAAATTTCAGGAAGTACCATATAGGCAGTGGTAATGAAGGAAGAAGTAGAAGTTGCATTGAAAGCAGTGGCATGAAATAAGATCCCAGGCATTGATGAGATACCATTTGACTTCTTTCACATAACAGTTTCAGCCTTGGTTGTGCTCACCAGTCTCCTCAGTGTTACCCATAATTTATTATGACACACACAATTGAATGCCTTTGTATAATCTAAGACACAATTAAATAGAGGTCTGATATTCTTTTAAGTCAAGATTTTATCTTATTAATGATATGCCTTGTTCTACCACCTTTAAGAACCTAGCTTGATACATATTATGTAACTATTCTTTTTGTTGTTTTTAGCTGCCCTCTGAGATCATTGCTCATTTCCCCTTCTTTAATTGTGCACATTAAATAAAGAAGGTCACTAGGTGTCACTAGAATCACATTTATTTGAGTTATTTCTGAGGGAGGTTTTCAATAGCAGACAACTATATAACATATGTTCCATTTCATTCCTAGATTCACTTTTTGTAGAAAAAAAAATATGTGTACAGATGTCACTTGGGTAAAAATTGGTATTACTTTGTGGAGTTTCTCCAGATTCTTTTCCTCACTTTAAAAAAAGTACTTATCCCAAAATATTTCTTCACTCATTCTGTGTGATAAAAAATACCCAAAAACCTCAAAAAAGAAATCCTTTGTTATATGATAGTGATACCTTGGGTTTAAATATTTATTTATGATAGCGCAAAGTAATTTTATTAGGATTTTAGAAAGGTGACATCACCAGATCAGTGATACACATTGCACCCACCTACCTCCTCCCTTTATTTTGTTTTGTTTTGCTCTGGATGTGTATAATCTGGCCAGTGTGCTCTGATTAAATTCAAAGTTGATTTGAGTATGCCTTATAACCTGAAGTATGAAAGTTCTGCAGAAAGCCTCATACTTACTATATTTGAAGAACAGTAAAGGAAATCAGTTATGATTAGAGCAGGGTAAGTGAGAGAGGAAGTGGGAGGAAACAAGGACCGTCATAAAATTGCTGAGTAGTTCTCAGATCAGTTTTCAAAAAGAATGCCTAATGGAAGTTGATAATAAGGAAATGCAGTGCCTTAAAGATAGTTTTTCAGATTAAGTAAGGGTTGCGTTTTGGTTTGTTTGGTTTTTTCACATATCAGGCTGCAACCTTCCTTACTTTGAAGATGATTGGGTATGACTGAGCATGCCATTGCTAAATAACAGGAAATTGACCTTAGTTTCATTAGTCATACAGAAAGTATGAGCGCTTTTTGTCTTTAATATGTACGTAAGGGAAGAGGAAGAGTGGATGTTGAAATGTCATAAGACGTTATAGTGTTTTCTTGTTACTGTTCTTAGATGCTGTCAAAGCTGACTCTAGATGATTCTGTGTACAGTATGTCTAGACCCGTCTCTGCTTGTGCTTAAGCCAGATGTTACAGTCAGTGTGTCAATCCATTTTATTAAGGCTTTTCCTCTCCTCTGACCTTTTCAAGCATAGTGTACCTTTCAGGATTGGCCCTTTCTGATCACATGCCCAAAATATGTAAAATGAAGTTTCATCATTCTTACCTATAAGGAGAAGTCTGGCTGTACTTTTTCCATGACAGATTTATTTGTTCTTTTTTTTTCTTTTGTCTATTCAGTACTCTTCTGACACTAATTCAAATACATTACTTCTTTGTCTTTCCTTATTCATTGTCCAAATTTCACATTATGTGATTTCTTTCTGTGACTTATATTCTCCTTATGTTTGTGTTGCATTTTCCTTATTCTCTTCCCTTTGATTCATTTTACTAAATTCATTTCTGTTCTTTAATGGCTCTTGACCAAAAAGGTAGCATGGTGTATTAAGAAGATGGAGGCTGTGGAGCCAGACAGACTTGAGCACAACTTTGGAGTGTGACATTCACTGTAGCCATGAACAAGTTATTGGGCCCTGTTTCCTCATATAAGAGAGAAACATAATCATTTAGATTTATAATCCCTGTAGATGTTCAACCTTAAAAACCTCAGTGTAAATAAATCTTTGTATTCTTGTGCTCATAGAGCAGCGTTATCTGAGTTTCTCTGGTCCCACTTCTTGCTACCTTCATTGTATTATAGAAGCTAGCTCTTCTGTTAATTATTATATACCTTCAGAAAGATGTCATTCCTCTTCTTTTTTTTAAATCTCTCTCCTGTAATAGCCAGCCTAGTCTCTTCTGCATAGAAAATTAATAAACTTTTGATGACTTGTCGTTAGGAAATAAAATGAAAAGATAGGGCAGTTTAGCATCACAGTAGGGGGGAAAAAGCATTAGTTGGTCCAGATAAGTAGTTATTTTGTACAATTGAATCTGGACTGACACATACCTGATGAAAAATTTCATAAGCAAGTGAATCACATGGGAGTCGACTGCATGTTTTTCTCCCATGGAGCAGATTCGAATCACAAGAGCCTTTAGGTTGACAAAGCAATTTGTTGTCAGTAGGCCACCCGAGCTCCCTAGATAAGTAGTGATATTATAAAAATTATTTGTCCTCAAAATGGAAAGGGATTGTAAGAGCCCTAGGGAGCTATTGTGGTGTAGTCTGTCAGAAGTTCTTATGCTAATGCACCAGCATTAGTGGTTTGAATCCACTAGCAATTTCTCTATAGAAGAAAAGTAGGCAGTTTCCTCCCTTGCTATTAACAACCTTGGACAGCCAGTGGAGGGTCAGCTATTGAGTCATTTCTGACTAGACAGCAATGTGTGTGTAGGAACCTTGGTGGTGCAGTGTGTGATGAGTTGCGGTGTCAACTGAAATAAATGTCAGCAATTCCAACTCATTAGCTGCTTTCTTGGAGAAAGATGGCAAGTCTCCTCCAGTAAAGAATTATATCCATGGAAACCTGATGGAGGGACAGTATAAGTTGGAATTGATTTGATGATAGTAACTTTTGTAGGTCTGCAGTGAGTAAGTGTTCTTGTAGTTGATTAACTCCAAAGGAAGGATGAGTAAATCAGGCATACTTCATTGGCTTCCATTGGAGTGGAAGTTGCTACTCTGCTCATTGAGTTGGAACCTACTTACAGCTAGTTGATCCTTGAGTGTGGTTTTTGAGACTGTAAATGGCACTGGAGGAGATTTCTCACTTTTCTCCCGAGGAGCCACTGTAGGATTCAAACCACCAGAGGTGCTGCTTTTGGGTTGGCACAACTCCCTTACGACTTAACTAGAAAACCAAAGTTAAAAAGATCTTAATATACAATGGAAAATGAGTGTATGATCATATGTTGTGTGTATTGCAACTAGCAGAGGATGTGCATAATTGATTGGCAAACAAGCTAAAGAAATTTTTATACTTAAATAGTGAAGGGCAGAAAGAGGTGGATGGAAGGGGAGCAGAGATTACTGGATGGATGAGCAAGGTTCAGTAAGGATTTAATGTGATGTAATAAATGACATTGGCCATTGTAATTAATGTTATAAAACAAAATGTATATGAGTGATTGAAGGAAAATAATTAAAAATATTCCATTAACGTGAACAACTTTTAGGAAGGGGAAGATCTGCTTTAGGGGTATTTCTTGAAACAGTTTTCCTCTTGACCACTAGATGGGGAGATAATATTACCTTTTTATGCTTTTGGGGAAAAGTACAACTCAGTTGCTGAACTGTTTGGTTTTTTGATAGGTTTTATTTGAGTATATCTCTCAATGTGGGTTTCAGTGCAGCCAGTATTTTATTAAGTGTGAAAACACATGTTTGCAAATATAGAAGGACTTTTAAGTGCTTCCTGAAGTATTGCAACTTTAAGTGGCATCATTAAGTATTACTTATTTCGTCATTATGAAAAATAGTAAACTCAAGTAGATTGTACTTAGGAAGTATGCCTTTTTGCGTATTTATATCATCACTTGATAGGTATTTTTGGATATCAGTGTTTCTGGCAGATGTATCACATCATTGCCATTGAGTTGGAACCCACTCATTGCTGACCCTCCAGTGGGTTTTCAGAGGCTGTAAATTGCACAGGAGGAGATTGGTCATCTTGAACACACAGAACAGCTAGTGAATTAGTTGGCAGTGCAATTCTTTATCCACGAGGACTACCAGAGCTCCTTCTGTAAATACATACTTCTTAGTCTGTGGTTTATCTGTTTTCTTAATTGTATCTTTCCAAGTATTTTAAAAGTATTTATATTTTGTTAAAGTTCAATTTATTCTGTAATTCTTCTCTCCTTTGTGCTTTTGGCCCCATTTAAATATTTCTGCTTAACCCTAAATCCTGATTTCCTCCCCTTTAGTTTGTAGGAATTTTATTATTCTATCTCTTAAGTTTGAATTTATGTTGAACTATTATTTTTGTGGATCATAGGAGAAAAGGTGTAAAAAAAATTATTTTGGGGGGGCAGTGATAACATTTACTGGTTTGTAAAGTTTTTCTTTTAGTATTTTACTCTTTGCTTGGTGTTGGAGCTTCAGAAGTAACTCTGCACCACCCACTGCTGTTGAGTTAATTCCTGCTCATAGGTACCCTCCATCAGGTTTCTGAGGTGGTGAATTTTAAGGAGAGGAGACTGCCTTCCTGTCTTTGTCCCACAGAGCCACTAGTGTGTTCAAACTACTGGAGACACCTACATAATAGTTTGTGTAGCAGCACAACACATTACTACTACTCCACTAGAGCTCCTTCTTGACACAATTACCTTCTATTTTCATGGACCTTTTAATGGAGAAAACAAATAAATAAATTGACTCCAGTGCAATGACACATAAAACAACAAATAACTCAATCTAATCTCTCTTTTTAAAACTTGATTACTCTTCAAAAATATTCCCAAATAAGGTTAACTTCACAGGTACTAGGGATTAAGGCTTAAATATGCCTTTTTGAAGAGCTAGCTATGTGTCATAATTCAATCTACACATTGTAAAGGGAAGTAGAATCAAATGTTGCTACAAGGATTTATAGTGAGAAAAATAATAACTTCTTTAGTTTGCTTAGCTCCACAATCAACACTCTTGGTACCAGGAAATCAAAAGATGAATTGCATTGGGAAAGTCTACTGTCAGGGACCTTTCAAGAGTTTTGAAGAGCAACGACATCAGTCTGGAGACCAAGGTGCATGTGATCCAGGCCATAGTCTTCGCAGTTACTTGCTATGCATCAAAACTGGACAGTGACTAGGGATAATAGAGAATTGATGCCTTTGAACTGTAGTGCTGGAGAAGAATATACCATGAACTGTCAGGAGAACAAACAGGTTCATCCTAGAGAGGGCAAGGATTCTGAGGCTTCATCTGACATACTTTGAGCATGTCCTTGGAGAGGGAAATCGTAAGTGGAAGAGTAGAGGGACAAGCGCAAGAGAGGAAGACCCTTGATGAAATAGATGAATTCAGTGACTGGGCTAGTGAGGGTAGGCATGTCAGAGACAATAAGGTAGGCACAGGATAGAGCAGGTTTCAAGACTATTGTACATAAGGTTGCTGTGAGTTGCAGACTCCTCTATGGTACATAACAATATCCAGTTCAGTACTTTTCTCCAGCACCACAACTCAAAGGCATCAGTTGTTCTTCTCCATTAGAGTACTAAATGTCCCATGGACTGTCAGAAGAAAAAACAGATATGACTTGGAGAAAGTGACACTAGAGTGCTCCTTGGAGGCAAAGATGGTAAGCATCATCTGTCCTACTTGGGACATGGGGCTAGGTGAGGCTATTCCTTGGAAAACGATGTCATGCTTAGAAAAATGGAGAGTCAGTGAAGGAGTGGAAGGACCTCATTGACATGGTGACTTAAGATACTATGGGCAAAATTCTGAATTATGTTGCAGACATCAAAAAAAGGTAGAAGAAATACACTGAGTATCTCTACCAAAAAACATTGACAGACATGAACAGTTGCAGGAGGTAGCATATGATTCCCAATCCATGGTGATGGAAGAAGTTCAGGTTGCATTGAAGACATTGGGAAGGAAAAAAGAAAGGCTCCTGGAACTCACGGGACACCATTTTACATGTTTTATGAAACAGATGCAGCCCTAGATGTGCTCATCAAGCTATGTCAGGAAATTTGCAAGACAGTTACCTGCTCCACTGATCAGAATAAATTTATACTTGTTCCTAACATCACTATGAGGTGTATTTCACTCGACTGCACCTAAGAGCAACAACATATCCAGTTCCCACACTAAAAGAGAAAACCCCTTTCACCTTTTTTAAAAGCTATTTACTTACCTCTGTATTTTCTAAATACAGAAATACAAATACTGCTCTTCTGTAGTCTTGGTTTTTCAGTTTTATATATTATCTAGTGATTTTCTAATGTGGAGGGACTTTTGCTTTATATCTTGTTCTCCCTTGAAGGTTAACCTATCCTCATACTATACACATCTACTGTTTACACACTAAATACACAAAACAATTCTTTTTGTCTCGTTATTGGAATATGCAT